AATATGTTCAATTGTTGAAACAGATACTCCAGTTAAAAAAGAACTGCGGTTTACAGCTTCATTTGTAGGAAGTGTCTGTTTCAGCCCATCATACACTTTCCATATAATGTTCTTTTTATCCTTTGATAAGGGCTTTCGCCGACGTAATTGGCTTTCACCGCCTCTAAATCCATTACTATTTTAACAATATAATTCTACTATTAAATTGTTTTTATTAAATTTATAAAGACACCAATATTTTACTATTTAATAAACTTTTAAAATACCTACCTAATATACTACACAATAAATATAACTCCTCGAATATGCACTACCACTACTAAATTGTAAGGCACAAACATGAATACCTACTCGTATATCAGAAAAGAGCACTTATACAAAAAAGTTTTCATAAAATATAAAATAATTATCGTAAATAGTTAAAGCGATACAAATCTAACTTCGTCGAAAGTTAGTTTTCAACTGTCTTTGTGCCTGTGCTGACAATATTCAATCTGTAACCCGTCTGTCGTTTATTTACCTGAAACACATTCATTTGTCATCGCGGAGATGACACGTTTTTAAAAGCGGTGTTTTTAAAACCATTAAACACAGATAACGAAATCATTAGGGAATAAATATATTCATTTCTTAAAAACTATCAAAGACGTTTATTTAACGCATCATCTTTGTTTAAATAAAGATGTTGACAAACAAATTTAATAAAGTTTACTAACAAATACCTAATAAATAATAAATAATTATTTGGTATTTGATACGCCGCCCGCCTATGCTGACTCCGTCGGAATTTTCATTCATAGACAACAGTGTTGATCATACATATGACTCACCTTCTCCAATATTTTGTTCTAGTACAGAGCTGCTACTGCAGTAGGTATGCAATACTTTTTCTTTTATTAATTTTACAGCTGAATTCTGGAAAATCCCTTACGGCTTTCCTCGCCGTACTCGCCGTACTCGCCGTACTCGCCGTACTCGTAAAAGTCATTAATGTTTTAACCGTACCCATGAAATTGATTACGACTTCCTCACCGTACCCATGACTCATAAAGAAAAATAAATGTGTTAACACACAAAAAAAACTATTTGTCCATGGCTGATATAAAAAATAAATAGAAAAGAAACTAATCCGTCGTTCAAATTACAAATTTACGCTTGTAGTTTAGGCAACTAGACATAAAAAACATATGGTAGGATTTTCAGTTACTTGCAGACCAAATTTAGTGCTACAAAAATTTTAATAAAAAAGAAGAAGTAAGAATCTACGCTCTACAACCACAGGGGTAATTTCGATATTATTCCTATAGCGATCTTTGGTTTCAAATTCATTGGTAATGGCTCGTCAAAGCAAACGAAGCCTTAAAACAAAATAAAAACTACTGCGGCGCAGTTTACAATGCCAACAAAAAATTTACCTCGCTGAAACTATATCCTCAAAGAGCTCTCAATACATAACAAATCTAGACTTCTGCAGTCAAGACAAAGGCTGTTTTGGAATATCCCAATTATGGATGGAAAATATTCCACTAATTAATCGAGACACCCTTTTTAAAATTTCACGTGTTACGTCTGTCCAGGAGAATCGTCACAGAAACGTCACTTCCCAAAAACACCAATACCAACCTACCTAGAGGGAAAGCCCACTCACGCAAAACGTCGCGCGCGATCTGCCGCTTGCGATTTTTTAGATGCGATTTTTATCAGGCGACAAGCAGTGGCACAGACGTTCAATATCAAAATGGAGGTGGAAGCAGGAACAGCGGCGTTGATAGTCCTTTTAGACGGTGATATCAGTTCTTAGTTTATTTGCAGTTTCAGTTCAGTTGTCAGTTATATGTATGTGTAAACACAAAACAATAAAATAAAAACTGAAGCTGACACGGAGCTGTGATTCAGTTAATTTTCCAACAGTTTAAGTACAGTTATCAGTTGAAATGATGTGTAAACAAATTTGTTTTGTTAACGTCTCCTTATTGGCAGAACATTTTTGAATATCCTTATGTTAAAACACGACTTTCTGACAAAAATTATTAATCTTCATCTGCAACAGTACCTTACTTATAGTACAGTATTTCAATACTTTTATTATAGCTTTACAAGATTCAGATATTATGATACTGTTACAGTAAGAAATCTAAGACTTTGGAAAGTACTCCCAATTGCAAAAAATCTTAGTGTTGCACTTAACATCTCGTATGGTGATATATTTCCTCTCATGTATCGCTTATTTATAATTCGTGTACCTTAGTAGGTACAGCACTTCTTAATATACATTCTGGCTTATCCATAAGTAGTTTGGTCATTCCCAAGGTTTCAAATGAAGTACTATCATTAAATTTACATAAGACAGCGTTTCCACAAATGAAGTCACAACTGAACTGAAACTGAACTGAGAACTGATATGAAAGTAAAACGTTGGTACTGGATTAATTCTTTACTTATAACGTTCAGTTAAATTGCACCTTAAATTTAGTTTATAATATACTGGTTCAATAATGTTTGCTTGTTTGCTTGTTTGCTTGTTTGCTTGTTTGCTTGTTTGCTTGTTTGCTTGTTTGCTTGTTTGCTTGTTTGCTTGTTTGCTTGTTTGCTTGTTTGCTTGTTTGCTTGTTTGCTTGTTTGCTTGTTTGCTTGTTTGCTTGTTTGCTTGTTTGCTTGTTTGCTTGTTTGCTTGTTTGCTTGTTTGCTTGTTTGCTTGTTTGCTTGTTTGCTTGTTTGCTTGTTTGCTTGTTTGCTTGTTTGTTTGTTTGCTTGTTTGCTTGTTTGCTTGTTTGCTTGTTTGCTTGTTTGCTTGTTTGCTTGTTTGCTTGTTTGCTTGTTTGCTTGTTTGCTTGTTTGCTTGTTTGCTTGTTTGCTTGTTTGCTTGTTTGCTTGTTTGCTTGTTTGCTTGTTTGCTTGTTTGCTTGTTTGCTTGTTTGCTTGTTTGCTTGTTTGCTTGTTTGCTTGTTTGCTTGTTTGCTTGTTTGCTTGTTTGCTTGTTTGCTTGTTTGCTTGTTTGCTTGTTTGCTTGTTTGCTTGTTTGCTTGTTTGCTTGTTTGCTTGTTTGCTTGTTTGCTTGTTTGCTTGTTTGCTTGTTTGCTTGTTTGCTTGTTTGCTTGTTTGCTTGTTTGCTTGTTTGCTTGTTTGCTTGTTTGCTTGTTTGCTTGTTTGCTTGTTTGCTTGTTTGCTTGTTTGCTTGTTTGCTTGTTTGCTTGTTTGCTTGTTTGCTTGTTTGCTTGTTTGCTTGTTTGCTTGTTTGCTTGTTTGCTTGTTTGCTTGTTTGCTTGTTTGCTGATTTGCTTGTTTGCTTGTTTGTTTTTCAGGTTTGCTTGTCTGCTTGCAGGTAACTCTTTCTGTATGCCAATGGAGAAATACAATCATTGAGTGTCTGCCTCCTCGTAGCACTGCTGGATGCGTTAATATTTCTGCACTGAGAACAACATTATTAACTAACTAAATGGCACTCTATAAATAACCCAAGCCAAGGTGTAAAGCAACATGCTGTAGGCTGAATGGCCGCTGGTAAAGTGGTTGCGAACGTTTCTAAGGGGGCACCTGGCGATACCCTCTGCGTCGGTCGAATTTTCTTTCTCAATCTGTTCGTGGGATTTACATGAGCAAAAAATTTAAAGAAAATAAAAAACGGAGGGACCACACCGACCCAAATATGATTAAATGGAGCCTGCCATGCCAAGCGATTAACCTCCGTCAACCTCTCAAGTGAGACAACCTCTCAAGAGAGAAATGGAAGAACAAAAGAAAGAGGTAAAGGGAGAAGATAAGAGGAGCATCATCGCTTTATCTGTTTCATCCCGCTCTCACCACTTATCGGTGAGGGAAGCTCCCCTAAAAAAAGAATCTAAACCGAAGCTACCTTAACTGGGACAACCTTGAGACTATCTTCAATGTGAACGAACAAACCATAGTAAAAGAGATGTTCGCTGGATGGGAGCATAAGCTCCTATTCCACTTTCGGTCTGAAATAATCCTAATCGACTGTGAAACCCCACAGTCAGCAGAATGGCTCAGGGCAAAAACCCACACCTGAACAACTAGAAGGGAGTAAAGTTAAAGGTATGTACGGGAGACCACAATCCGAAAGCACGTACGCTCTTTCTTCCAGGAAGTTAACGGCAGCCTGTAAAGAAGCTTCTAAAGTTATTAGAAGTGCAGAATGTGGGGCTATCGACCACACTGTGGAAAATCGTCAGTCAAAAAGACAAGGACCAATTCCAGATCCTTAGGCTAGGAATAGATAACGTATTCTACCAAAGGATCAAGAATAATGAATATAAAATCCACTATTAATTCGGTAAAATCATCATAAACGGCTTTCAAAAGAAAGAGGAAATAAAGGAACTGAAAGAAGATACAGAAATAACTCCTAGTACTTTCAAAGATAAGACTGATGTAGAAAGCATAGAGAGCCTTAACCTCTACAATCTATGCGTAGACTCATCTGAGGATGAAAAATTAGATTAAGAAGTAGAACAGGGGATAAAACACACCCTCGCCTATAGGAGCGGCACCCCATTAAATGAGAGTAAAATGGCGGGAATCGACTTCGCCTAAGTGAATGTCCATCACGCCAAGGAACCTTCAGCTATGATTTCCAGGACATTCACTAAAGATCAGTTAGGTTGTTAGTTCACTAAAAAATCTATTTTTATATAACTAATCTTTTCTCTTTGATATAAACTTCCAATTAATATCGATTTTAAAACCAAAAAAACGTTTATTTTTATTTGTTTTCTTGCCGCAACTGGTGACATGAATGTTTCGCAACTGGTTACATAATGTTTAATTACACGCAACTGGTTACATAAGGTAGATAATTTTAACACCGGCTGTCAATTTTTTTCTGTCATTTCTTTCATAATTTGTCTTACTTTTCATAATGTTTTATCCAATATTGATACTATGTGTTCGTAAATTTATATATGTTAAAAATAATGTATATTTTATTGTTGTACATAAAGCAAAAATATATATGTATCTCTAGCACTATTAGAGTCGAGATCTAATTTTAATTGGTATTTGATCTTGAGATTAAACCATGTGCCGATCAGACAACAAAAAATAGACGCTTTATTGCCGCTTGTCAATTCTTCTGATACCTTTAATTGGCTACAAAAATAAACTAAGTTTATAAATATAACTAATCACCACAGTCGACAACCTAGTGAGCAGTGTCCTTTTAATTGTGATAATATGGCTGATGTAAGTGAAAACACATTTAATTATTTATTAATTTTTTTGCAAAGTAACATTCAAATAACATATTCTAATATTGTTAATCCAATATTTTAATATTTTAAAGGGATATTGAAAGTATGTCTAGGTTTTTTGTTTTTTGCTCTTAAAGCCATAGCTTTGAAAACATTTTACTAAAGTCTTTATAAAAGCAGCGGAACTTACAATCCCTTTTTGTATACCAGGTGGCTCTAGAAGCTTCGGGTTAAGACGATTTAACCTCTCTTACCTATGTGTAAAGTGGTCTAGTTAAGTCGGTACAAAGCGTCAAAGAAAAAAACCAAATTTACGAATATTAAGAAAAATAAATATTGGCATGACATGTTCTGTGACCTACAGGTCACATTTTGATAACTTTTAATGTTTATCCACAAAAACGATTCATTAGTTACATACCAAACTAATAGGTATTGTGGTGTAGTTTAATATGGTGAAAAAACTAATATATTTCCGATTCTCAAATTTTGTGAAAGAAATTCTCCGAGAAGCGTGAGAGTAAACCAAGCAAGATTTGCTAATCGCGAGGTGCCGAATCATAAAAGACTGTTGTTTTGTTTCAAATAGCAACATTTAGTATAAATCGTGATTAAAATATTCGAAATCAAATCACGTACAATAAACTTAATTTCCCATACAAATCATAAAATAAATTATTACCAACTACTCGTATTTCTTGATGGAAATGCTTCTATTGCTTGGAACTGCCGAAAAAAGAGCCCCTTTAATTGATGTTAATTCTCGAAATACCGACGCTAACTTAAAACTTGGAAATGTTATTTGTATTTTGCTAGTCACACAGACTCAATAACACATCCAATTTAAAAAAGAAAATAATTCCAAACTCAAATGTGACCAAGATGTAAAATAAAATCAAACTAATCTCAAAGCCATGCGTCACAATATTATGGGCGGACGTTTCTCTTTTGACAACAACTACTTCTTTGGCTAATACCTCACTAGGTATTCCCTTACTTTTAATGGCGACTGCAATACATGCTCAGCAAAACTCAACCCCAGCAACAGCAAAATTACTAAACGATCAACATTGATTCTTGTTCGTCTCTGTTACTAAGGGAACAGAACATACATCGTTGCCAATAGTAAAAATTTTAATTAAATCGGAGTAACTGTTATGGGTCAGAAATGAATCTTACCTAACTATTACAGTTGTTATAATAAGTTATAGAAAGTTTAGTAAATAAAAACAAAATTGTGAATAATAGGCCTTTTCATCATGTGATGAGCGCAAGCGCAGCAGCCATGTTGAAATAGCGCCAATTCAAAAGTTTCGTACTGTTTTGATCAACAATGGCTGAAAAAGCAATATTTTCTGTACACACAAATCAATCATTAGAAAAAATCGTTGATGGTGATTTACATTTTTATAACTCTGTGGAAGCACATAGTTGTGAGCAATTAAAAAGTGCCTTGAAATGACGTGGACGTTCGGAACAAGGAAAAAAGTGTGGTGATTAAGAGGTTATAGGTTTCAATACATATTAACTGTGTAAAAAATTAATGAAAACAAACAATAATTATAACTCTATTCTAATTAATTATGCCAACCAACTATTAATAATTGCAAAAACACTTTAACAGGAAAGTTAATCACGAGTATAATTAATAAGATAAATTATTTAAAATTTTAAGGATTAACATGACATTTTTAATATAACTGTGTATAACGAAGTAATATTTAATATTAAACAATATTGTGTAATGCCAGACAAGGATTTTCTTCTGTTAAACTACTTTCTCCATGAAAATGTAGTGAACAAATGTATCTTTAGTAACATCATCCATCAATCAATCGAAAGCCTTTTGTCACTTTGACCACATTTTTTCACTCATAATGCTCATTTTGAACAGGTATAATATGTATTTTGCCTAATGATTTGACAGTTTTTTTACGATATTGCAGGCAAGTCATTTTAAAAAATAATAATTTATACCGTGTGTCACTTTTACATACTCATAACAATACCGTTTAGTTTTTCGTTTCCGTAAACATAACATAATTAATTTATCCCATTTTTTAAATGAATACACTTAAAATTAATATTTATCGATTATAATTTTTTCACGTGGATATTTTAACATGCTTGTTTACAAAAAAACAGTACAAAAAAGATGGCTGATACTGACGCATGCGCACAAAAAAATATTGTGATGAAAAGCCCTATACTCAACCAGATGCTAATGTCAAATCTTAACCAGGACCCTGTAATAGTTCTTTAGGTATTTAGGTCAAGTTAGCTGAATATTGGCAGTTTAGCATTCCTAAATCCGGGACATTTATCTTCTTGGTTTCTGCCAGTCTATCTCTCCCTTGGTTCTTTTTCTTACTTGTTGGTGATGGGTTTGTGGGCCATGTGTTCTGAATTTTTTTCGGATTTTCTACCACGCCAAAAGAGAGTTTTATCAAGTTATTCATTATATGTATCGCTTGTAAAATCAAGGATTCCATTAAACATGTTGTATATTTGCGATACTTACTAATAGGCCGGACCTATTGAGATATAATAAAAAGGAGATGATATGACTATACTAAAACTGTCCGCACCTTTACATTACATTGATGCACCTTGGAGACATCGAGAAAACCAAGTTTTAAAATATATTCGCTGCTTAAAATATAACCGCTACCTTTCGAAGAACTACATACACCTTAAAATAAAACCGGGAAATGCGAGTCGGACTCGCGCATGAAGTGTTCCACGCCATCGTACAAGATTTATTACTATATAGGTATTTATTAAAAACTTTATTAAGATCGAGCAAAGAAGCTAAAAGAAGCCAAATTTTTTTATTATCTGCTGTTAGCGGCAAGAGAAATACACATTTTGTGAATATTTCAACTGTCTATCTATTACGGATCAGTAGATAGACAGACGAACAGCGGAGGGTTAGAAATAGGGTCCCGTTGGTTATCTTTCTGGTACGGGCCCTAAAAAGGAAACCCCTAAAAGTTAATATTATACTTCTTTAAACCCATTCGGAACACCATGTTTTGTAATAATGTTTCGGGACACGAAATGACAACACTGTTTAAAAATCTAGCACCACTGGCCATCTCGCCGCATCCTAACTCATTAATGTTTCGTGTTGCGTGACGACAAGGTGATTGAAAATTAAAATATTGGATTGTTGGTTCGTGCGTTTGAAAATAAAATTATGAAGCGAAAAAGCAAACAGGATTCAAAGAAAAGGGCCAAAAAACGGTTACTAGAAGACTTAAAAAAAAAAATGGAAAAATTTGAAAAATATATGGGAAGTTCCTCTTCAAGTAAGTCCAATTTCGCATTTTATATCAAACATTTAGAAATATTATACATTTAAGACAGAATAACGTTTTAGTTTTCTAAAATATAATCATAGGGCTATTATCATTTATTTAAAAACAAAGACGAGTAGGTATTTTGCTTATTTAAATTAAGCGTAGGAATTTATGATTTATGGCGATCGGTTGTTTTTTGGCCGACCGGTGATAAAAAGTACAATCAATGGGTGTTTTTATTATTTTACAATTCAAAGCGATGTTGCCACGCGCTCGGCGTTTGTCATTTTAATCGGACTATTTTAATTTTATATCTAGTTTATTAAAGAATATATTTTATTTTTTATTACGTTAAAAAATAACATGTTATTTAAAAAAAAAAAAAAAAAAAAAGATTTGGTTCTTTTCTCATTTCTGTGAGTAACCTAGAATATAATATAATGGTTGTTTTGCTTTTAGCCAACTATTAAAGTAGATCTAAATAGGTACAAGTAATTTGGTTGTTTTCTCACTTTTGTGAGCAACCTTAATGGAATAGTTGTTTTGCTTTTTGCCAACTATTAAAGTAGATCGGTACCTACAAGTAGGTAAACAAAATAAATATGGTTTCAGGTCAGAGCAGTGATTCTTCAGGTTCAGAATCAGAGTCTTCTTCCTCGAGTGAACGAGAGTCTCTAGGAAGAGAGGAGAGGGAGGTAGCAACCATAAATGCTATTTTGGGAGACGCTCCAGCTAGTTCGGGGGAGAAGGGCCCACCCTTATGTGATGCATTAGTGTCTCGATGGTCAGGTTATTTAAGCGCAGGACTGGAAAAAGATACCAGGGAGGCGCTCACTGCAAAATATAAATTGGCTGAAAACTGCCCCCTTTTAGATGCTCCTAAATTAAACCCAGAAATAGAGGCATCCTTGACGACGGCTCAGATCAAAAGGGATCAGTTTTCAATGAGCATTCAGAATAAATTAGGAAGAGCTCTATCTGCACAAGGCTCAGTACTAAATGTTATTTTATCACCTGATGCAGCCCCGCAGTTAACTGACGATAATATAAAGACAGCTTTAGCGGATGCAGCTAAGCTTATATGTGAAGCACATTACCTATTATCATATCATCGAAAGCATGAGCTCTACCCTTCGCTAAACGCAGAAGTTCAGAAGATAGCAATGAAATCCAAGATTGACTCCTTGTTATTTGGAGAAGATTTCCAGGAAAAATATAAGGTGGCAAAAGAAGTAAAGAAAACCAGTTTAGACTTAAAAGCAGGACCTTCAGGTTATAAGAAAAAGGACCATTTAAACTACAAGCGCCAGAACAACAGGCCCAGGTTCAAAGCAGAGAAGTACGACGACAAGAGGAAGAAAGGGAAACAACTACAGTGGCGTCGCAGCGCTCAGTCCAGTCAGCAGCAGCGCGGCTTGAGGAAATATCACATCTAGAGGTACCTAATAAATATGCAGGTAGAATAAAATTTTTCGCAGCGAGTGGCAGAATATCACTTCTAACCGAGCTATTTTAAGTTGGGTTTCTGGGTACTCTATCCCGTTTATTAAGAAACCTTATCAGAAACGTGCACCAAAAAATGCAAATATTTCAAAAAAGGAATTTAATAACTTAAATTGTGCTATTTTAAAATTAGAAGCAATTGGGGCAATTTGTAAATGTAAACACCAACGAGGTGAATTTTTATCAC